GGGGGGGGGGGGGGGGGGGGGGGGTGAGACGAAAGAATCTGGGAGCAACATCATCAGCCGATGGACAGGGTTATGAATACCCTAACTCAGATTTTAGTTGGCCCGGTTTTATCACCACGAGATAGGCTCATTACGTCCGACTGCGAGATACAAAATTTAATGGCTCTGAATATTTTTTTGTCGAGATTCTCTGAATGAACCGGAGATTATTTTTTTCTCAAATTTTTTTTTTTTCAAATGAATAATTCATGGGAATCTTTAGTGGCAGCGAAAAAATTGAATGAAAAATGTTATTCGTTCCGGACAAATCCTGCCATTAGAACCGGAAAATTTATGCTTCTTCATATGTTTTTTCCCCCCGAGTGCCGATAAAACCTGATCTATGCAATGAAAAATTTTATCCCACATCTTGTGAGATGATATCAACAATATCCAGAGATTTCAATTTTCCGTTGAAAAATCATGGTGGGTACGTCACTACTGGCGAGAGAGAACAGCGAGCCCTCTGTTAAAGTCATTCACGTGGAGGTAGAGAAGGTTTGTGAAATAAGAAAGAAGAGGCCATGGGAGGAGAAGAAAAAAAGTAGTTGCAGGGGAATATGGAAGATCGGCGTGCGGAAGGCAATATAAAAGGCGCATAAAATCACGAAGACCAACAATATGGCCTGCTGTTTCGCCCAAGAGAGTCGATCGCACGCGCCTCAATTCACCCTCCTCTTATATACTATCCACTCTTATTTTTACTCTTTTTTTCATTCTTTATATTTCAAAGCATCGTAGGATGCTCAAGCCTGGGTCAATTTTATTCGATGCAACTCGTGTGTATGTACATTTGCCCCGGGGCGTCACAAGTTTTTTCATCTGATTTTTCCCAACTTGTTTTTCTCCCCGTCTCTCTCTCTCTCTCTCACTCTTTTTTTTTATTTCTCTATTTTATATCATCTGGAAAAAGCCATCGGGGATATTGTACTGGGAGTTTGCACATTTTGGAGACAGGAAGCAATTTAAAATACAACTTGAATCCTGTACAGACGGTGCGCACGATTAAAAGTCTATTGCAAATTCTGTATTGTGTTTTGGTATAAAAGAAAATTTTATGGTGAAATAAATAGCAGTGGCTCATTAAGTGGCGCCTGGTGAGCGTCTAGACAGGCCAATAGCAGATTGCCAATTTGTTCAATGTTCATTTAATATTCCAGAAGCGTACTCCAAACACAATAGATAATTGAAGGAAACTGATGAAGACAATGCAAAGATCGTACCAAAGAATTTTCAACCTGCATTGAAATCCTAATGAAAGACGCAATGTCTGATATTAAAACCGTTCAACAAATATTGACTTTATCAAAATGGCTTTTTAAAATGTAGTAAAAGAAAATTATGTCTTTAATCATTCTAAAAGTAAAAAAAACCACGAATATCTTCAGTTTCCAGTCAATAACCGAAGATTATAAACCGATTGTGAATGCTAATATTTCAGAAACGTATTTATAGACGCGCAATTGATAATTTAAGGAAACTGATGAAAACGATGCAAATGAAAGGAGCAATGTCTGATATTAAAACTGTTCAATAAATATTATGTGATGAAAATTATTTTTTTAAAACTACTAAAAGCAAATTATCCCTCTTTAATCATTCTAAACCTCAAAAGATCCACTAATATCTGCAATTTCAACTCCATAACGCACACTTTCTCAGATTATGAATTCTAAAAAGCTCGGGGGTAATGCTAGACGCTGCACCGAAATTCTCTTTGATCTTCTCCTCTACATTCCTTCATTTTTTTTTCTCCCAGTCTCGCCTAAGTGAAAAAACCCGGCACCCTCACTCCTATCCGTGCTATCCGGCTAATCAGAATCCAAAACAGTTTGAAATCCTCAGGATTGAAAGCTCGCGGATAAAATCAAAGGCAGGTCGCTCGCTTCGCTCATTAGGGGCCCCATTATGGGCCGAACCCACAACTTACCAATTAGTTCACTTTTCTTTCGTTCTCCACGACTGCAGTGACGATTTTACCGTAATTTCTCCAGTCTTATTCGTAAAAAGCATTTTTACGGTAAAATTGCATGAATATTTCCACGTGCAACGTAATTGCGAAATTTTCCATGATTTTGCGAAACGTTAGCTTCTGAATTAATCGCAAAATTCTGCATCGGAAAATTGGAGAGTTTTCCAGACAATTCGCGAACTTTTAGAGAAATTGAGTTTCCGGACAAAACGATATACGAAATTCTAACAGAACGAATATTCTATTTTTCCTATTTCTTCGGGCCATTTCGCGTTTCTCAGCAATTTTATCATCCAAAAATGAAGTAAACTCTAAATTTTCACTATCTTGCCACCATTTCAAGTGGTGCATCCCCTCCTCATCAGGGCAATTTATCAAAAGTATAATATGTCATTACACTTTAAAGCCCTTTAAAGTCAATTCAACCTGACATGACAATCACAACATCAATTTATAACCCATCAAATTATAATGTACAGAGATTCAAATCCTACCTTGCGAAGAATGCAGCAGCAGCGCTGGCCTGCGCCGGCGTCCCAGGAACTCCACTGACACTGTACGCATACTTGGTCTCTTGAAAAACATTAGGTGGATACAAAGCCGGTGATTTCAGGTAGACAGGGCGATGATAGTAATTTTCACTGTACTTGTCACTGTAAGCACTCTTATCACACTGCTTTGCTGAAGATCTCGCGTGAGATTTATCATGACTCGAGTGTCCTTTATCGGAGGACGCGTATTGTTGGGGTTTGTCAATGGCTCCATATGATTTGAAGCCCTTAAGTTCGCCATAGTACTTGATATTATCGGCCTTGTAACCCACGTGGCTGATACCCGGCTCGTGGAGGCCCTTCGTTTTAGCTGGCTCGTGTGGCTTGTACATAGCGTCCTGCACGGTTTTAATTTTTTCCGCCAATTTACCAGTGTCACACTTGACCTTCTCCACCTTTTGCTTGTCAGACTTGAGGTAGGACTCGACACCTTTGAATTTAGAGTCAGGACAACCGATCATGACTTCTGGACACAGTACTGCACTGTTCACACCGAGAATTACACCACCACTCACGTAGGTACTGGCGGTGCCATTGAAACTGCTCCTCGATTGCTGGTGAGGGGCTTTGACGGTCTGATCATCGCTGGTATCCACGTCGTTCTGTTTGTGATTGGAACGCTGGCGTGACGCTGACGTCCCTCTTGGCTCTCGCGCGGTTGGCGTGATACTGGTGAGATTAGTGGGCGCCTCAGCGCCGAGACCACTACCGCCCCTAGTCCCCACTTGTCGTCGTACCTTCTCCTCCTGATGGTGATAAAAATGGGTTTATTTTTTTTAAGGAGCCTGTGTTGAATGAAATTCATTGACAGCATGGGATTGGAATTCATAGCTAGAGATGTGGGGCAATGGTGAATGATTTTGGTTGAGGTTTGTGGGCAGGGGATTTGATATGAGGGTCAAATGCACTGTTGGAAAATTACTTTTGAAGTTTCAAGTGAAAACGCTTGAAATTTTCAGTAACAACGTTATATGAAATTTCTGTGTATTTATTCATTGACGAATCAGTTCCTCACAATATCGAGAATTCAGATGACAGTATGACTGAAATTTCAAGAAATTTTTAACAGCGTATTATACAAAATGTTTGTGCTGCCAATATAGGGTCATCAAAAAGGAGGACTAAGACCCTTGGGACCCAAAGGAGCAAAATTATAATATAAAGACACAATACGGAAGGGCGAATTCATCCTAATAAATATTACCAAAAATTCTTCCCCCCCATCACATCTCACCTGACATTTTTTCACATCCTCCTGGCGTCTGGTCACCTCACAATACTTGGGTGGTGGCTCAGTCCTGGGTGCATCCTCCTGATACTTCGGTGGCCTGTCAAGTGGACGATATTTGGGTGGATCATCGTTCCTCTGATGGCCCACTAAGTGACACTCAACTGGCTCTGGCTTGCTCAACTGATTGCCCTGTCCATTAATCTTTTGCTCCTGTCTGACATGATTGTGTTTGGCGTGAATGGAGGCACACGATTTATCTCGCTTCTCAGCCTTATCCGACGCTCCCAATTTCGATTCCTTCTTTTCCTGTGTCACATTCGGTGCATTATCGTGATTCTTCTCATTGCTCGAACGGTGACACTTGGTATGCCTACTATCTGGTTTACCAGGCCCATCAACCTGGTAATACATCTGTTCACGGCACTCCTGAGATCTTGAGCGCGCCTCATACGCCAAATGATGTGGTTTTTCAGGTTGCGAATGACTTCTGGAATAATTTTGCTCAATTTTTTCATTTCTATCGTTGGAATGCCGGGAGAATGTTCTACCGGTGAATCCAGGCTTGATTGGATTTCGCTGGTGCTCAAGGTACTGACGGGATTTATATTTCTCCTCAAACTGGAGATAATTATAGGTACTGAAGCCCATTTGATTGAAACTACGAGTCAGATTCGATGACTCATAATCCGTGGATGTGACAGCTTCCATATTAATCTGGAAAGGATTAAGCAGAAAGCAGGAAACTATTAGTCTGTACTCAAACACTCACGAGTGAAATTTTGCTGCTACATATTTTCCATTTTTTTTTTTTTTTTTTATTAAATATTGATAAGAAGTGGAAGTGTCTGCGTGAAAAATTAATAATTTACACGTGTAAGATAAGAAGCGAAATAGGTTTAAACCCGAGAACCCATGGAATAAGACGAGACGACGAAAATGCCATAAAGGTGAGGAGGCGAATGGAGCCTTCTGGGCTCACGATAACCTCCTCATCGTTTTACTTCATATCCCTCCCTGTGCTCTGTACAACGTCAAAACTGCGTTAGGAACCGGTTCACACCTCACGTGAACCTCGGGGGCTCACCGATTTATGATACCCAAATGGCTTTCACGATGCACCATTGGGTCCCACCAGTCTCTCGGTTATTTTTTTTCGATCATCACGACTCGCACAATTTTCTCACTCTCTGATGCAAGCCAAAAGTACCCAATTTCACTGGGGAAATCGCCGAGTACACTCACGATCCACCGGTGAATCCGTGTTATTTCGGGGTAATTTATATCTACGATACACTTCAATTTATTTTTCGGCAGAATTCATTCACATGCAAATGAAAATTTATGGTAATTTGGTGACAAATTGCAGTCTAATTCATCTTTGAGGAAGTTCTGGGTGGGTGGGGGTGGAGTTGGTTAAGGGTTGAGTGTCTAGTAGTGACGAGGGCAACTACGCAATTGAGCTGAGAAGGGCAATCATGAATTGAAAATATTAGGATGACGGTGAATTCAGCGACATTTAAATGTCGAATTAATAGAAGAAATTGAAACAAGACTGTTGGAAGAAGCTAAAATTTCGAATTTCCAGTAAAGAAACGTAAAATATTCTCCAGACAGAATTAAACAATATTACAAAGAATAAAAGCAATCTATTCCGTCGTTCAATTTAAATCCCGTCCCCAAAAAGTTTTTTGCATTTTTGTCAAGAGCAGAAACACTCTGAATTGACAACTGCCCGGAGGAAGTAAGTCCCGAAAAGAACCTTGGGGGTAAAAGGGAAAGAATACAGTTGAACCCGTGGAGTTTAGAAGAGACACATGGGACGAAAAAGGCGACAAGACGAAAAAGCAGTGGCTGCCTGGCCTGAAGGACCTTTTAAAACCCTTTGTTATCCTTGGCAGGCTCCCGATGGACACTCTTATCTTCTAGACCGTATGTTTGGCTTGTGTATAGCGTCAAGTTTTCCTCCAAGTAGAATTTCGTCTGTGTGGATAAATTCTACATGACGATCTAGACGTTTGCCTCTTTATTTACAGCACTGGAATACTATAAAAATTGGTGAAACACACCGAATGAAATAACAAGCTCGGTGAAAAAACAAAAACGAGGGTAAAGGGAAAGAAAAATAGGGAAAAAGTTGGAGTAATGGCCAATGCGTAGGGATCCAATGTGCCTGGATAAGACGACAATCCTCGGGACAAATACTGGCCGGGATTTGCATTTTTCCATCATTAATGACGTGAGGCTTTTGAGGAGAAATTTACATGTGTACAGTTGATCGTAGGATTTATAGAAAACTTTTTGATGCTCAGAAAAAAAAAGAGAGAGGTGGAACGACAATGAGAGGTAGACAGAGGCTGCACGAAAATCCCCTGTCACAATGGTCTTTAGCATTCATGCGCCACCACGGATTGACATCAATTAGCGTCAAGTATCGTTGAAGTTTGCTCTGAGAATTCGGCACAACCTCGTTATCAAAATTGTACCGAGTACAATATATCTCATCCCACGTCAAAGGAGCATTACATCTTGACTCTCCTCTTTGACTTGGCATCATTAACGGAAGATAGGTACTCTTCGTCGTTGCATGCAAATAGAGCAATACTGAATTGCAAGGAATTAACTCGGTGAATTCAATGAAACGAGGAGATGATGGAGAACGGAATTTCTGGATGATTGTTAGTTTTTCCTTTTGGCACGTTTTCAGGAACGCAAGTTGGCTATGCATTACAGGAATATTGTCACCTCTGAAGTTTGAAAAAAACTCCTTGAGGATCTCCTCAGTCGGATGGACAGGGGCAAACAATCTAACAAGGAAAAGTCCCTGAGTGGCGATGAAAGCGTCAAAGTTCCTCAATCCTCGTTAAGAGATTCTTTCTCGAAAAAAAAAAAAAAAAAAAAAAAAAAAAAAAAA